TATATATATATATATATATATATGTGGCAATCACTTGTGTGTTTCCATAATTATATCTGTTACTGTATGTTAATTAGATTTTTTGATCTTGAAATGATTTATACTTTACATTTTGTTCTACATAGTTCATGATCAAATTCTTGCATATTGCTGAGGCATAGTGACACAGTACAGATACTATGTATATGTATATACTTTTACATGTTGCCTGTGATTGAGACTTAATTTGAAGATAAATTATTTGAAAAAAAAATTCTTTGTATTTAGGGATTTTTTATACAATGAACAAAAATTATATAACTTCTGATCAGTAATCAGATTATTATAAAAGTTTGTAATGTTATATTGGGAAATAATTTCTCAATGAGTAAATTTTAATAAACTAGTTATATCAGTTACATAGATAACGTTATTGGTATGTAGGTGTAAATTGGTTAGCTATTGGGTTGAAGTCATATTTATCAAAAACAATTTTAATATAAAACTATACAATGTTTTTTTTAACTTTTCTCCACAAATTTCATGATACCTACAGATAATACTGAGGATATGAGATACAGATTTCATGATTTTTGCTTACAGCATTTGATCTCATGGAATTGAAGTCTTTAAGATAAATTGTATTTTAAAAATGGTTCATTAATAAAGTATCTCCCATAGCAGATTCATGGCAGGACCTAGCATAAAGATAAACTGTATGTTAGAAATGGTTCAGTTATAAAGTATCCCCCATAGAAGATTCATGGCAGGACCTAGAATAAAGATAAACTGTATGTTAGAAATGGTTCAGTAATAAAGTATCCCCCATAGAAGATTCATGGCAGGACCTAGAATAAAGATAAACTGTATGTTAGAAATGGTTCAGTTATAAAGTATTTCCCATAGAAGATTCATGGCAGGACCTAGAATAAAGATAAACTGTATTTTAAAAATGGTTCATTAATAAAGTATCCCCCATAGAAGATTCATGGCAGGACCTAGAATAAAGATAAACTGTATTTTAAAAATGGTTCAGTTATAAAGTATCTCCCATAGGAGATTCATGGCAGGACCTAGCATAAAGATAAACTGTATTTTAAAAAATGGTTCAGTTATAAAGTATCCCCCATAGGAGATTCATGGCAGGACCTAGCATAAAGATAAACTGTATTTTAAAAAATGGTTCAGTTATAAAGTATCTCACATAGGAGATTCATGGCAGGACCTAGAATAAAGATAAACTGTATGTTAGAAATGGTTAAATAATAAAGTATTCCCCATAGAGGATTCATACCAAGACTTAAAATAAAATGATTAGTAACATTAAGAGTGTTTTTTCAAACTTGAATAGGAACACATATTCAGGATATCCATACATTCTTACAAATTGAAAATAGCTTTTTCCAGTAAAAACAAATGCTTAAAATATTGTGAATGTCCAAAAGCACAAGTTCTGGAGTTTGTACATTATTTTGAATATTATGAATGCTAAATTGTATACTAATTTGCAGGAAAACTGCTACTGGTAGAGAATTGTGTAATAAATTGTAATAAGTCATTGGAAGCTTTTATATCTAAATATTTAGATATTTAAACTAGCTACCTCTACAGTTATGAATAAATTGATACTAGTTCAAGATTATAGACTTGTAGAGGAAGATATTGAGAATTTTCTTTTCTTTATGTTTTCTAAGCCAATATTTCAAACTTAGTGTTTAAATAAGTTGGCTAATTACACTTTATTTTATGTTAATCTAGGCATACTCAGCTGTGTCAGTTATCTTAGAATGACATTTACCTTGAAAAGAAATATATTTATGGCTACTTTAGAATAACTAACCTTTATGAGTTTATTCTAGTAAGTTCAGGTTTAGTGAATGTGTACTATAAGTTCTCATATTTACCTTTCTGTTAAGTAATATTGGTTTGGATTTTTGGAATCGTAATTACTTTTATTAATTTCAATTAAATTGAGCATCAAAATTAGTAAAATTCACAATGAATATTTTCAGTGAAACATTATCTTGAAGATGCATTAAAAATTAAATTTTTCAGTTTTAATGGTGATATCAGTTACTTTTTTTTTTCAAAACTTTCATAATGAATGGGTTCATAAATTGTTAATGATATTAAAAGAGTGGTGAAAAGAATTGGTAAAAATATAAGTGAGGAGACGGAAGGGCTTTATTTTAAAAACTTTAAACCAGATGGCTTGGGATTCCTGATATGTAATTATGTTAAATGGTTTACATTCAATGTGAGTAGGTGTTAATGTTGGTAAGCTATATAATCTCTGATTAACTATGTGTGTTTTAAAGAGACTATCTTGCATAAATTAATTATGAGTGTGCAGTCTATTTTGAGTTTACACAATAATCCTATATTAAAGAAGAACACATTTACATATATAATTTGGCTTATGATGATTACTGTAAACAAGCTAGTTCCTGATAAATGAAACTTAAAATAAGCTAGATAGAAAAATGATATTCTGGTGTCTACTTTCATGAGTAAGGAATATGGGTAGACAGTTATGATATACCATAAAAACTTTAGGTAGTCATTGAGGACAAGATGTGTGAAAGCTATTTCCTCAGATGTAAATAGTACTTGGTACTTCCTTAGATACAAACAGTAGTTGAAACGTTGCTGTTGATAAAATTATATATCACCATGTCATGGTGTATTTTAGTTATAGTATAAAGGATTTGTCAAATAAAATTAATACCTTTCATTGGATAGTTTGGAATACCAGACTGGATTGTAGATTTGCGTCATTGTGCAAGTCATACTTTGACCCCACCTTTGGAAATGTTACGAACTGGAGCAGATTTTGCCCTTCAGTGGCTTCGCCTATACTTTTGGGAGTTTGAAAGTATGACGTTGGAAGATTTTACTGTTCTTCCACCTTCTAGTAAACCTGAATCAGCAATCCATGAAAATCTTCTTCACTACCAGCAGCATTTGTATGAGGTGAGTTGTGATAAAACTGATGTCAGATTTTCAGACCTTTCATGTGTCCTGTAATTTTTGTAAAATATTTTCATGTCCCATATTTCCTATATTAAGCCTAAAAGCTCTTGTATTTTTATAGTAAGTAAACCAACACCTTTGATTTGAACCACATTTGTTTTTAAGTGAAAATGCTGCACCTTATCACATTTTTCAATATTTTTAATGATCTCATAAGTTCAGTAATCATATTATATTTGCTTGTATATATATCCTAGTTTCATGAGCAAATAAGTGAAATTTTGGTAAGTTTTAGAGTTCCTGCAGTGCTCTTAAACCTAGGCAATCTCTAAAGTTTCTGGGATGCTCGTCTTCCTGTGTGACTGGTGCCATACATTTCCACACAAGCTGAAGAAATCCTGCAAATCTTCTGTTAAAAAAAAAAAGTATTAAATGATTACTGCTTCAGTATTAGGATTTTTTCCTCAATGATGGAAACAGAGATGTAGAATATGCTTGTAAAAACATGGTTTTGACCAAATTTTTTCATGAGCCCTGCTGCATGTCAAATGGTGGTCAAAAGTTATTTCTGCAACAACACCATTTACTAAAACAGCTGGCATCCTTTGCCACAAGTATCAAGGAGGAGAAAACGTTTATTTAAAATAAAATATGACTAATTAATTTGAAAATGTGGTACTATATGTATCATATTTGACTACACTGTAATCATGATAATATATTACACTTTGTTTGGTATGCTGTACTCTAGTAGGGCAAATTTTCATGGTTATAGATTATGTAAGTTTGTATATTTGTTAGCTATTATAGAAATTGTAATTCACTTGGACTTATGTGTCATGTAGTAGTGACTGAATATGTGTTACAGCATTATTTTATTTGTTATTAGATGTACATTGGTTAGCCAGTTTGCCATACATAACTTGTAGTTTTAAGTACAGATTCAAGCCAGAGATGTGTTACTCACATTAATGTTTACATACTAGTTAAGTGGGTCTGCAAAGTAGATGTGTACTTCACATAGGAAATGAAGTACCTGTGCTTTATGCTGAGATTTGCTAACAGCTTGAAATAACATGAGTATCAGCTTATTATTACCACTTGTGCAAGACAAGGAGCAATATGAAAAGTGACCTTGAATGAAGTCAGTATATATGATGTACAGTCTTAAAGAGTAACCACTGGTAGCAAGAAGGTGTAACTTGTATTTCTCAAAGTATTAATGATAATGTGCAATATTTTTGGTTTAACATAGTCCTTTATTTCCCCAAAAATTTCTTTAAATTCTTGTATTCTTCCAATATTTTAATGACATATATTTCTGTATTTGTCCTGTATATATTTGTGATTATGCTGAAAGGCTTGTGATGATGTTATGGACCTGTTTATTTGCAATAGTAACTCTGATGATGTTATTAACTTTTCTATACACACATAACTTAATGACAACAAGGGATTTATTGTCCATCTAGGCCAGCCCTTATCATTCAAATATTTATCAAGTCTTTCCTTAAACTCACTTAAATCAATTACATCCACTACATCTGAAAAAAACAAACAAAAACATTCCACAAGCCAATCATAATGTTAGAAAAATAAAACTGTCTTAGCTGAAGATGACTTCTACCCTGACAAGATTTATATCTGTGTCCCCTAGTCCTACCATTATCAACATTAAATACAAAACAAATATGGTGCATCAAGTCTGTCAATTCCCTTAACAATCTTAAATGCCTCAATCAGATCCCCTCTAACTCTTCTTTTTTGAAAGAGAAAACAAGTTCACAGATCATAATCTGCCTTCATATGACAACCTTCTTGTGATAGGTATCATTGTAGTATTCCTTTCCTGAAGCTTTTTCAGCAATTAAATGCCCTTCCTAAGGTAATGCACCCAAGACTGAACTCCAAATGTAGATTGTAATATCTTTTAGGCTTATAAAATGTTATTTGCCTTGCTACTAGCAACAGCACATTGCTTCAGTAATCTAAGGGACTGACTGATTAACTATAACACAAAAACTATTTTCTTCCATAACAAATTATGATCTCCCACATGCATTACCTTGTGCTTATTATAATTAAAAGCCATCTGCCATTTGTTTACCCAACTCGTCAAATAATCCAAATCTTTGTGTAAAGCAGCAACATCTTCCTCACAGCCAGTTATGTGTAATAGTAATCCTGATGATGGTACGGACATCAATTTTTACAAGCTAAGTAGTGGTAATACTGATGATTCTGTAGACATGTTAAAAAAGTTCCTTATAATGTAAATGTAAGCTTTCCTTATGTAAAATAAGTTTGTATAAGTCCATATAGTATAATCCTTCTTCAAAACAAGTTCTTCAAAATGTATTCTTAAAGTGGGATCTGTGAATACAATCATTACCATAGTTTTACAAGTCTGTTCAAAGATTGCACTGGAGCTCAGATACCTTGAGTTTTTGATTGATCGGTAATTTGTGACACTATATAAAAATCAAACTGAGGATAATTTTTTACATAGTTAATAAATACGTGCCTGGCCAGGACTGGATACTAATGTTAATGAAGAATAAAATATAAATATTAATTATTTAAAATAATGGAATCAGGAAAAAAAAAAGAACCAGAAGAAGAAAAACGTAATTCCAAAAAACAACAAAAACACATTATTCCAAAATCACTTTTCTATAGTAATAACAATATCGAGTGACAAGCAGCAATAATTCACTAACTATCTTGTGACTAAGTTTATGAAGCTTATGACAGGATATTTGTTCACTGCAATAGGTCATGAGAGTATGTCTCATGTGATCATAAATTTAACATAAACTTTTGCAACATTAATAATATCTGTACGTCACCATTAGGGAAGCTGGAATCAGTCTCATCATAGAGTCCATAGACTATATGTAGAGATGGCCAAGGTACTCAATAAGTATAATACAAATATGCACACTAAAAAAAAATCTATGATGACACAGAATTTTACTTTAAAAGATGATTACCACTCACTTTCATTTGTTTCTCTACCCAACAAGGCAAGAAACTGTTGCTTAGATACAAAGCCAGAAAGTGACCAACCCACCAAATTGTTCATCTTTCTTCTCTTTGTTTCAGTTGAGATAACTCTACAACTACTTTATCACTAACATCAGTTTAAACCCAAATCCACTCTGTGTGTTCCTGGGTAGTGCACTAGTGCTTAGTCATAATAACTAGTATTAATCTGTAAAAAATCGTAATTTTAGTATAAACAATGATATATTAGCTCTTGAAGTCAGCATTTTTACAGAAATCTGGTGTTACTTTAAAAACCTAATTACAGGGTGAAACAGGAATTACCAGCCAATAATAGATGAACATTAGATGACTAGCATACTCAGTGCTTTGTCCACTCTACAACCAGTGTCTTTAGGGAGCCGACCCTTATATTATGTAAGAAGTGAAGGTGTATAGAAAGAAATCAGTACACATAATATTAAATTTTATTACACACATTCATAGAATACACTAAGTTACAGTCAGAAGAAAATACATCACAAAACAAGTAATAAAAAACATTTTGTAAATGTAAAATGATGTAAGGATGTCAGTGCCAAAAATAATACAAACAAGAATATAGGGATGATACAGTTATACATAGATCATCCCTACTTTACTTTCAATATTAAAAGTTAATGTTACACTGTAAAATGCGTTCTTAACACTAATATTACTTCAGATGGAAGTCATATATTCCTAATTGTTGGTATGCAGTTTTTTTCCTCATAATATCATGGTCTTGCCAGGGTAGGCATCAGTGTAGTGTAGCTAAAAGCCTAGGACTTGTGTACAAGAAAAATCATGTTTTGATTATTACAGATTCTCACTATGATGTCAGTCAATTTGACTGACTGCATTTTACAGTTAAACATTAAATTTTAATATTGAAAGTAATTTAGGGATGATCTATGTATAGCTGTATCATCCCAATATTCTTGTTTGCATTCATTTTGGCACTGCCATCCCCACTTCATTTTACATTTATAAAATGTTTTTTTTATTATTTGCAATACATACACATTTACTCAAAATAAATGTGATCAGCTAAAAGATGAGTTAATGTTTCAATGTAACAAAATATTCATAGATAAATTAAATGATAGAAGGAATAATAAATGAACAATAAACAAAAACATTACCAAAAAAGTAGAATGCACTATCTCACAACCTTATGCATATTATAGAAAAATTTATTTTAAGTTCACACTTCTTCCATATGCATATTCTTTCTATCCATTGGGGAGGTCATTATGGAGACTTTACCCCCAGGTTGGCATAACCCCACTGATATGAGACTGTGATGGTGCACCTCTTGTTGGGAAATAGGCTGGATTGTTTACCTGGAAGTGTAGTACAGGTCATCTGTTACACTAAGAACTAGGCCATTTCCAGGGCTATGACAGCGAAGTTGGTCTTGGGTTCTCCGCAGGATGCAAGTTTAGGATGGTTCCTTCCTACATCTGCTTTACAGCCTGGTGTATTGACCTAGTCCTTCTACACTTACCTGCTTTGCTGACCACCTGTGACATAATGGCAGATTGAACAATATTCTATACCCCCATCCCCTTCTGTGCATCATTTTGGCACTATGCAGAAGGTTCTTTTCGTGGTACCTTTTGCTTTTGCACCTTTATTGGACAAAGTGTATTCCTTGCAGGAGAAGGATGCAGTCTCCCTCCAAGTGATACCTTACTACGATATCTTCTTTTAGTGGGTGACATGATCCGTGGATTTTCCCTTTCCGACTGTAATTTCAGAAAGGAGTTCTAATTTTTCATTTTTTTTTGTTTCATCTACACTAGCCTTTTCACATATTATCAGTGTGGGATTCTAGATCTGTATTCCTTCCATGTTCCTGTGTGTTTCTTTTGCTTTCTCATCAAGAATGAGTTTTTGTTGCAATGCTAGTGCTCCTATGGTTTAATTCATGAAAAGAATGTAACATTTGGTGGAGGGCTTTAGTCTAATGA